GTTCAGACCAGCAAGCTCCTCTGTGGAACCATGAGCAAGATCAAGCGTTTGCAGTGGTCCATGAGCCACTTTTTAAACTGGAAAGTGCTTAAGGATCCAGAAGTGAGCCTGGCGATTGAGAAGCGGAAAGAAAAACCACACAGGATTCCTTTCCAAATATGGTGCTTCCTCATCCCAGCATTCTATGGCCAAAGATACTGAGGCTCAGAAATGTACGGAAGAAGATGCCTGAGCGGGGAAGGCTGGCTATTCCCTCTAGGGCACTAATGCAAGGTTTGTTTTTGAGGCATCCAGTAATGATTAGAAGTGTGCCCCTAAGCAGCTCTGGGCTCACTTGAGGCACTCATGTCTTAATTAGGTGGGTTTTGACTTATTATTATTTAGTTCCCCGTTTTTCCTTAACAGAGTGCTTTAGTTGCTTTATGCAATTAGAAGGAGGATGCTCACAGAAGTCATCACATTACGGAAGAGATATGACAGAAAAGACCATTAGCTCTACAAATCCCAGCAGTCATTAGGGACTTACGTAAACAGCAGAGTTTAAATTATTTAGTTGACAATCTCTAATAACACCAGCAGCAGCACACTGCACTTTATACTTCATAAACGCAGAAGTGATTAGTCTGCTATATAACCTAATCATCTGAAAAATGTAATTCCCATAGCAACATTTGTTATTACTGCCTTGTAAAAGGGCAGATTAAAGATAGAATTTTGATACATCAAATTGTACTCCAGCGCAAAATCCAAAATAATTGTCTCGTCCACTTGAAGGCTGGTGTCTCTGCTTGGAAAAGCCCTCCTGTATGGCAGCGGGTCAGAAGCTAACTTTGAGCAAGTTACTGCTTTTTCATAGCTGAACGCATTCTAGGGACATAAATGTTATAGGAACTGATTCTTTGGAAAGATTTTTGAGGTTCTTATGAGAGATTTAGGGGATTGAAAACTTCTGTTCTGCAAAGAATTCATCATTTACTGGACTCCTGGATCACAGGAAGATGTGGGCTAGTTGCCAGAGACAATGGTACAATGACACCACTTCTGGCTTCTATGAGCGTCTTTCTAACCCTGGACCACCAGCTATGGATGCCTCCAGTTCTCCTCCTGGGCACCTGATCACCTGCCTTAAGTTAGGCATGATCGTGTACTTTGCTTTGGCCTATGGGATTGCTATGGGTTGAGTGTTTATGTCCCCTCCCACCCAATTCACATGTTACAAACGCTAACCCCAGCAGGATGGTGTTGGGGCAGAGGCCTTTGGGCGGTGATTAGGTCATGAGGGCAGAGTCTTCATGAATGGAATTAGTTCTTCCTCTTTCTTCCTCTCTCAGCCCCCAGGCAGACTGCTGTCTGCAAATCTGAAAGAGCCCTCACCAGATGTTCCATCTGCAGGTGCCGTGGCCTTGGGTCTCCAGCCTCCAGGAGTGTGAGTGATACACGTTTGTGGCTTAAGGCACCCAAGCTATGGTATTCTGTTTTAGCAGACCAAACTTAACAGAGGGATCCTGTGGGCTTCCCCTTCCTCCTTATCCATCTCCTAACAAGTGACCGAGTGAGTTTTCCTTTTTAATAAATTTGACTGACTTTTTTTTTTTTTTAAAGGCAGAGCAACAGAGAGAGAGAGAGAGAAAGAGAGAAAGCAACTGAGCTTCTGTCTGCTGGTTCACTCTTGAAATGCCCCCTAACAGCTGGCATTGAGCCAGATCAAAGCCAGGAGCCAGGAGCTCAATCTGGGTCTCCCATGTGGGTGGCAGGGACCCAAGTACTTGAGTCATCACCTGCTGCTTTCCAGGGTTCACATTAACAGCAGGGTGAATTGGAAGCCAAGTGGAGACTCAAACCCAGGCGCTCTAACATGGGAGGCGGACATCCCAAGAAGTATCTTAGTTCTGTGCTACTATACCCGCCCTAAATTGTCTTTTTTTTTTTTTTAAGATTTTATTTATTTATTTGAGAGGTAGAGTTACAGACAGAGAGAGGGAGAGACAGAGAAAGGTCTTCCATTTGCTGGTTCATTTCCCACATGGCCACAATGACTGGAGCTGGGCCAATCCAAAGCCAGGTGCCAGGAGCTTCTTCCAGGTCTCCCAAGTAGGTGCAGGGGCCCAAACACTTGGACCAGGGGCCGGCGCTGTGGTGCACTAGGTTAATCCTCCGCCTGGGGCACTGGCATCCCATGTGGGTGCCGGTTCTAGTCCCAGTTGCTCCTCTTCCAGTCCAGCTCTCTGCTGTGGCCTGGGAAAGCAGTAGAAGATGGCCCAAGTGCTTGGGACCCTGCACCCACATGGGAGCCCAGGAAGAAGCTCCTGGCTCCTGGCTTCGGATCTTCGCAGCTCCAGCCATTGAGGCCATTTGGGGAGTGAACCAAGGGAAGGAAGACCTCTATCTCTGTCTCTCCCTCTCACTGTCTGTAACTCTACCTGTCAAATAAAATAAATAAAATCTTAAAAAAAAAAAACAGCAACAACACTTGAACCATCTTCTGCTGCCTTCCCAGGCCATTAGCAGGAGCTGGATCGGAAGTGGAGCAGCCAGGACTTAAACTGTCGCCCGTGTGGGATGCCTGCACTGCAGGTGGAGGCTTAGCCTACTACGCCTCAATGCTGGTCCCTACAACCCCATTTTTAAGTATACAGTTCACACATATAAGCTACTGTGGTTTTTGAGTTTTTTGATTTTACAAAACCAAACCTAGGGGTAGGCATTTGGCGGGGTGTTTAAGACGCCTGCATTCCATATGGGAGTGTCTATGTTCAAATGCTGGCTTTGCTTCCAATGCCAGCTTCCTGCTGATGCACACCTTGGTAGGCAGCAGGGGATGGCTCATGAGTTGGGTCCCTGGCACCCATGTGGGAGACCTGGATTGGGTTTCTGGTCTCATCCAAGTCCAGTCCTGCCTTTCGTGAACACTTTGGGAGAGATCCAGCAGAAGCCAGATCTCTCTCGGTATGTCTGCCTCTGTCTCCATTTCTCTTTCAAATAAATAAATGATAGAAAAAAACCTAAATGAAGCCCAATACTAACTGAAAGACAGCAGGTGCTCTTTTTAACTGACCTCTAATAGACTTCCTTGTTAAATAACAGCATGCTGGGGCTGACCCTGTGGCATAGTGAGTAAAGCCGTTGCCTGCAGTGTTGGCATCCCATATGGGCACCAGTTCGAGTCCCGGCTGCTCCACTTCTGATCCAGCTCTCTACTTTGGCCTGGAAAAGCAGTAGAAGATGGCTGAAGTCCTTGGGCCCCTGCACCCACGTGGGAGACCCGGAAGAAGCTCCTGACTCCTGGCTTCGGATCAGCACAGCTCCAGCTGTTGTGGCCAACTGGGGAGTGAACCATTGGATGGAAGACCTCTCTCTCTCTCTGCCTCTTCTCTTTCTGTGTAACTCAAATAAATAAATAAATCTTTAAAAAAATAAATTAACAGCATGCTCCATTTCCTTAGTAAAGCACACTGATCACATCCCTCTAAGCTGTGCTCTGGCTATTAAAATAGCCTCTGGGACAGTGGTCCTCTGGCTTGCACTTGCATCAGAATCTCCCGGAGCGTTTGGGCTTCTGTCGACCTGGAGTGAGGCTGAAGATCTTTGCCTTCCTAACATATCCCAGGACTTTGATGCTCTGTTCTGGGACCCAGTTTGAGAACCACTGATCTAGGGCACTACCACCTCTGGTTCCATTCAGTGGGGAAGAATGGAATCAGCTGTGTTTGTTAATTAATTTATTAGGCAGAGTTAGAGAGAGAGAGAGATCTTCCATGCATTGGTTTACTCCCTAAATGGCTGCAATGGCTGGGGCTGGGCCAGGTCGAAGCTAGGAGTCAGGAGCTTCACCTGGGTCTCCTACATGGGTATAAGGACCCAAGCACATGGGCTGTCTTCTTCCACTCTTCCAGGTACAATAGCAGGAAGCTGGACTGGAATGGAGCAGCCAGGACTTGAACTGGCACTCATATGAGATGCTGGCGTTGCAGGTAGTAACTTACCACACTGTGCTACAGTGTCGGCCCCAATTGCATTTGTTCTTAAATTATTTACATTTTGTACTTCTGACTGTCACTGTGTGTTTTAATCAAAGATTACATAAACATTAAAAAATCGGTTGAGAAATGAGTTGTTTCTATAAAACTAAGTTGAATGCTTTGGAACAACTGAATATAGGTTTGGGACAATTGGTTTGACCCTACCAAGTTAGTTTTAGTGGAACAACTGTTAAAGATCAGAAAAAAAACCCTATAAGAATCTAGAGCAATTAGACATTCAAGATGCATTAAGAGGGTCTCTAATTTGTTGTTTTACTTTAATCAAATCAAGTCTATAAAATGAAAGTGATGTGTTCTGGCTGTGATTTAGTAAATAAAGACAAAAATAGAATGCCAATCAGTGGATGTAGTCTATAAAACTTTGGAAAATTTGCAAGTGAATGCCTGATTAAATATTTTAAATTGAAATAACATTCTGAATTAAAACAAAATGCTTTCTGGGATAAGTGACCCAAGGCCCAGGGGCCAAGTGAGATCTGAACTGGTGCATGACAGGTGCTGATACAATGCCTCCCTTGTGTCATGTGGATCAGCTCTGCCTTCCCCTTGTATCTGGCTCCCACACCACAATATGTGGCCTTTTTTTTTTCTTTTGAATTAATGTTAAGGTGTCTTTATGTCTTCCCTGAGAAAGGTGGTACAAGTTCAGTAACTCAGAGTCACCTTCAAGATGCTGGCTAGCCTCAATTTCTGCAAAGATTTACGGTAAGAGAGTTAGTAAAAATGATTGCCAGTTTCTGAGGCTGCCGCTGGTTCTTTGGCTGTAATAGATGTCATCATCTCTCTTCTCTACCACTCCTTCTATATTTCTTTGTCTGCTAGCTGACACTTTGACTGTTCAGGGTTTATTTACTGGTGGAGTGACACAAACCTTTATCCTTTAGGGGGCTGAATCCTTAGTTGCCTTAGCTTGGTCAGACACTATTGGTTGCTTAATTCTCCATTTCTTGTTATTTGCAGGCATGGAAGCACCAAGTCCCCTGAGGCTTCAAACATACCCCTCCTTGGCCCCATTGTGTAGATCCAGCTTACTTTTCATGGTAATTCGGAGGAAATGCATGTATTTGCCTGTTGGTTTCCTGGAATGAAGACACACAAGTGGGTTGCAGCTTCAAGACAGAACTCTGAACTCTTACTGCCTTCCCTTGTGGCCTTATTCCCACCCCAGACCAGGACCCCTAGTGCAGCAGAGCTTAAGTTAAGGGAATGGGGAATGCAGATTCTGTGGTTGAGTCTCTGGGAAGTGATGGTAAGAAGGGTTAATCCCACTTCTGCTCACGGTTCTCGCACTTGGATAGTTTAGTTTTTGGAGACCCAGAACCATGTACTACTGCCTCAGCGGTTCAGGCCTACACCCCAAAGTGGAAAAAAACCACAATGGTTTTGCAGAGTGTTGTTCCAGTGTCTTATCTGAGTCCTAATGGGTCACTACATTGTTTCAGGAGGGTGCATCATATAGAAGACAGTAGAGTCTGTGGTCATGGGCCTGTTGTCATATTTCCTTTACTGTAACCGGTCCCTTGGACCAGACAATAATTGTGTGTGATAGGACATCGAGAGAGTAGGCATTCGTCATCCATGCATGCCTTGTATGTGGGAGGCATTGTGGAGAGGGAGGGCAAACCCTACCTAAACTGGAAAGGACACTGCTGTTTTATCTAGGGTAGAAAGTGATATGAATGTAATACCTGTGGAACAGCCCCATATGAACATCGCTGTTTCAGCTTTTGTTATTGGAAGGTTGGACGTTCAAGGGTAGTATTACTATGCTGACCATTGTGAGGGGAAATTCATGATATTTGGTCCTCCTTTACCTTGGTAACATGGATGGAGCCAATGGACTAGTCAAATATCTTAGGCCTATTGCACCAGCACTGTAGTGACCAAAAGAGAGGCTGGCTCATATTCATCAGACAAATCACCCTTTCCACCAGTTGGTGAGAGCTTTATCTGGTACTATCTGAATAGTGTCTACACCCATAGATGTACCACATGTCTCTTTCCCAGGCCTCCTGATTTCCAGTCTTCAGATCTTATAACTGTCAGGACCCTGAACAAACAAACCATTTTTTTTCCACTACGCAGGACTCAATACACACCTGTACTTTAGGCCACTCCAAATAGACTGAAAAAATAAATATTCTGCTCAGAGCTACATCTACAGGGAGACTTTTCTTATATCACTCTCCTTTAGAAATGCAGGCTATTTTATTTTAGTGCCAATATATTATACTGACACATCTATGAATTAGGCCTCCAGTTCTTTCTTCTTCTGTTAATTGGTGTGAAGGAATCCATCATGAGGTAATAAGAGTGAGTTGAGAAAGCGGTGTGAGCGCAGTAGAGTTGGGTGCATGGGACTCTGACTTACCTGTTGGTGTAATTTACTGACACTGTCTGGACTGAGGTTCAATCCTGAATTTATCATTTCCATCACACAGTGGTTGCCACTGTGCTTGTCCGAACTCATGATTCAGGGAACCTGAGCAGTTGCAATTGCATAGTTATTTGGTGTCCCGAAGTCAGGTGCTCAGTGGTATACCAGGAGCTGTTTCTCAAAAACAAATAGTTTAGGGCCGGCGCCGTGGCTCAATAGGCTAATCCTCCACCTTGCGGCGCCGGCACACCGGGTTCTAGTCCCGGTCGGGGCGCCGGATTCTGTCCCGGTTGCCCCTCTTCCAGGCCAGCTCTCTGCTATGGCCAGGGAGTGCAGTGGAGGATGGCCCAGGTACTTGGGCCCTGCACCCCATGGGAGACCAGGAAAAGCACCTGGATCCTGGCTCCTGCCATCGGATCAGCGCGGTGCGCCGGCTGCAGCGGCGGCCATTGGAGGGTGAACCAACGGCAAAGGAAGACCTTTCTCTCTCTGTCTCTCTCTCTCACTGTCCACTCTGCCTATCAAAAAAAAAAAAAAAATAGTTCACTCTATTCCTAAATCTGTATATATGAAATACATGAAACTTGTATAACTTAAATAAAATTAAAAAAAATCATGAAATGAAAAAATGCAAATAGTTTTTGGCCTCAGAAGGTGTGACCTTGTTCTATAACTCTAAGCATTTTTTGCTAGCTCTTCTATTGAGGTTTTCCAGAGACTTCTTGCATTATTCTTGTCTGCTACAGATATTTCCCAGATCTGCTAAGGGATTAGGTGGCAGAGCAGCTTGGTCCTCCACTTGGACTATTGCCTTCTAAATGCAGTCCTAGGACAAGGGGGAGTGAGGCAGCAGAGAGAGTTAGGAAATGTAAGTGTGTATCATTCAACTGGTTGCCACTTGAATTTAGGAATAACAGAGTTTTCAATATTGTGGCATCATTTTCTGACACTTTGATTTTTTTTTTTTTTTGATCAAGGTAGTCCATAGGGAGATGAGAGGGAGAAGATTTTATCTGTCAGCTGCCATCTTGCTTCGGTCAAAGATTCACCCCAGGGGACATTCACTTCCTCACACTTCCCACTGGGAGCTGAGCAGGTCTGCCTCTGTACAGAGGTCTTCAGTATTAACAGGGAAGATGCCAAGAGAAACCTGGGGGCATGGATGTGAGAGATGTAGGCTATGGACACAAAGGTAGGGTTGAGTCGCACCAAGAGCCCTGAAGCACTGCATAAGAGGGGTCTTACTTAGCAATCAACATAAATTCCAGGTGAATTAGATCACAGGGCTTTTCTGAGATCAACTGTCTTCCAATCAGCAGAGAGCTGATCCGAAGGCAGGAGCCAGGTGCTTCTCCTGGTCTCCCATGGGGTGCAGGGCCCAAGCACTTGAGCCATCCTCCACTGCACTCCCTGGCCACAGCAGAGAGCTGGCCTGGAAGAGGGGCAACCGGGACAGATTCCGGTGCCCCGATCGGGACTAGAACCCTGTGTGCCGGCGCTGCAAGGCGGAGGATTAGCCTAGTGAGCTGTGGTGCCGGCCATGATGGCCCCATTCTTTCTACTGGGATCTCACTCACAGAGATCTTTCATTTAGGTTTTTTTTTTTTTTTTTTTCAGAGTGTCTTGGCTTTCCATGCCTAAAATACTCTCATGGGCTCTTCAGCCAGATCCAAATGCCTTAGGGCTGATTCTGAGACCAGAGTGCTATTTAGGACATCTGCCATTCTATGAATCTGCTGTGTATCCCACTTCCCATGATGGGTCGTTCTCTCCCTTTTTGATTCTATCAGTTAGTATTAGCAGACACAAGTCTTGTTTGTGTGATCCCTTTGACTCTTAGACCTATCAGTGTGATCAATTGTGAACTGAAATTGATCACTTGGACTAGTGAGATGCCATTGGTACATGCCACCTTGATGGGATTGTATTGGAATCCCCTGGCACGTTTCTAACTCCACCATTTGGGGCAAGTCCGATTGAGAATGTCCCAAATTGTACATCTCCTCCCTCTCTTATTCCCACTCTTATATTTAACAGGGATCACTTTTCAGTTAAATTTAAACACCTAAGAATAATTGTGTGTTAATCACAGAGTTCAACCAATAGTACTAGAACAAAACAAAGAGAAAATACTAAAATGGATGAAGTATTACATTGTACATCAACAGTCAGGACAAGAGCTGATCGAGTCACTGTTTCTCATAGTGTCCATTTCACTTCAACAGGTTTCCCCTTTGGTGCTCCTTTAGTTGTCACCGATCAGGGAGAACATATGATATTTGTCCCTTTGGGACTGGCTTAATTCACTCAGCATGATGTATTCCAGATTCCTCCATCTTGTTGCAAATGACCGGATTTCATTGTTTTTGACTGCTGTATAGTATTCTATAGAGTACATGTCCCATAATTTCTTTATCCAGTCTACTGTTAATGGGCATTTGTGTTGGTTCCAGGTCTTAGCTATTGTGAATTGAGCTGCAATAAACATTAATGTGCAGACAGCTTGTTTGTTTGCCAATTTCATTTCCTTTGGGTAAATTCCAAGGAGTGGGATGGCTGGGTTGTATGGTAGGGTTATCTCCAGACTGACTTCCATAGTGGCTTAACCAATTTGCATTCCCACCAACAGTGGGTTAGTGTCCCTTTTCCCCTACATCCTCTCCAGCATCTATTGTTGGTAGATTTCTGAATGTGAGCCATTCTAACCGGGGTGAGGTGAAACCTCATTGTGGTTTTGATTTGCATTTCCCTGACTGCTAGTGATCTTGAACATTTTTTCATGTGTCTGTTGGCCTTTGGATTTCCTCTTTTGAAAAATGTCTATTGAGGTCCTTGGCCCATATCTTAAGTGGGTTGTTTGTTTTGATGTTGTGGAGTTTCTTGATTTCTTTGTGGATTCTGGTTATCAACCCTTTGTCTGTTGCGTAGTTTGCAAATATTTTTTCCCATTCTGTCGGTTGCCTCTTCAGTCTCCTGTGTCTTTTGCAGTACAGAAACTTCTCAATTTGCTACAATCCCAATAGTTAATTTTGGCTTTGACTGCCTGCGCCTTCAGGGTCTTTTCCAGGAAGTCTTTGCCGGTACCTACATCTTGCAGGGTTTCTCCGATGCTCTCTAATAATTTGATGGTGTCAGGTCATCGATTTAAGTCTTTAATCCATGCTGAGTGAATTTTTGTGTAAGGTGAAAGGTAGGTGTCTTGCTTCATGATTCTGCATGTGAAAATCCAATTTTCCCAGCACCATTTATTGAGTAGACTGTCCTTACTCCAGGGATTGGTTTTAGATCCTTAATCAAATATAAGTTGGCTGTAGATGTTTGGATTGGTGTCTGGTGTTTCAATTCTGTTCCATTGGTCTATCCATCTGTTTCTGTACCAGTACCATGCTGTTTTGATAACAACTGCCCTGTAGTATGTCCTGAAATCTGGTATTGTGATGCCTCCGGCTTTGTTTTTGTTGTACAAGATTGCGAGGTCTCCTGTGTCTCCATGTGAATTTCCAGATCTGAGAAGAATGTCTTCAGTATTTTGATTGGTATTGCATTAAATCTATAAATTGCTTTTGGGAGAATGGACATTTTGATGATATTGATTCTTCCAATCCATGAGCATGGAAGATTTTTCCATTTTTTGGTATCCTCTTCTATTTCTTTCTTTAAGGTTTTGTAATTTTCATCATAGAGATCTTTAACATCCTTGGTTAAGTTTATTCCAAGGTATTTGATTGTTTTTGTAGCTATTCTGAATGGGATTGATTTTAGAAGTTCTTCCTCAGATGTGGCATTGCCTGTGTATACAAAGGCTGTTGATTTTTGTGTATTGATTTTATATCCTGCTACTTTGCCAAACTCTTCTATGAGTTCCAATAGTCTCTTAGTAGAGTTCTTTGGATCCCCTAAATAAAGAATCATATCATCTGCAAAGAGGGATAGTTTGACTTCTTCCTTCCCAATTCGTATCCCTTTAATTTCTTTTTCTTGCCTAATAGCTCTGGCTAGAACTTCCAGAACTATATTGAATAGCAGTGGTGAGAGTGGACATCCCTGTCTGGTACCAGATCTCAGTGGAAATGCTTCCAACTTTTCCCCATTCAATAGGATGTTGGCTGTGGGTTTTTCATAAATTGCTTTGATTGTATTGAGGAATGTTCCTTCCATACCCAGTTTGCTTAGAGTTTTCATCATGAAAGGGTGTTGTATTTTATCAAATGCTTTCTCTGCGTCTATTGAGATAATCATATGGTTTTTCTTCTGCACTCTGTTAATGTGGTGTATCACATTGATTGTCTTGCACAGAGAGCTGAACCATCCCTGCATACCAGGGATAAATCCCATGGTTGG